CCCATCCTTCTAAATGTTAGTTATGTTTAGTTAGTTTGTTATGATCCATACAGTCAAATGCCTTTGCATAGTCAATATAACAGAAATAGACATTCCTTTGAAATTTCTGCTTTTAGCCAAGATCTATTTGGCATAAATAATGATATCTGTTGCTGGTGCCAGCCTCTTCTAAACCTATCCTGAACTTCTGAAAATTCTCTGCCAATCTACTATTCTTGCTGTTTCTGAATGATCTTCAGCAATAATTTTTGCTTCACTAAAAAATTTTTATCACCATCACATAAATGTCAAATTTCTGCATAGAGTGACTTGAAATAGTTTCAACTACAGTTTTCTGCTATCCAGAGCAGGTTGATCGGCTACAATTATTTTTATGCAGGGAGGTCTGGTGGCTTTCCTCACAGAGAGTTGCACAGCTAACTCAAAGGTGATGCCCCTCTGGTGGGCCAGATTCTTCCTTCAGCTCCAATATGACAAACTGAGTTCTAATACATGTATACGTACTTGGAAACAGCTCAGCAAGCTGAACTGTGACAGGATTCTAGGCCATGAGTGCAGCACCATCAGAGAGTTCCTGGGTGGGAACCCAGTTGGAAGCTTGGATTTTTGGATGTGCACTGATTCTACATGTTGGGTAGTGGTTAGCATGTTCTCTTGTGGTGGGTGCCCTGGAGCCTTCCCAGCTGGCTGGTGAAAATATGCTCCAGTTCAGGATGTTGTTCCCGTCTCCCAGTTTGTTTCTTCACTGTATTCTTAGAAGTTCCTATGTAGGAGTGGGCTGAGAGTGTGTTCTGAAAATCAATGCAAAGGTTGGCAGGAGCACATTTTTCTTATACTTTGTCAGGCCAGGGAGTGGGTTTAGAGTGTGAGGAAAATAATGTGATGCATCTTGATATTCATAGAATATACTAGAGAGGAACTTTCAGGTACTTCCTTCCCCACCCCGCCTTATGAAAATATAGGTGCTAATGAGTTGAAACACTTGGTACAGAAGATCAAAGACTCAGCCTTCTAATAAGAATTAATTACATCACAACATAAAAAAAATAAAAATCTTCATCACTGGACCAATAAGCAACATGATAGATGGAAAAATGATTGAAGCTGTCTACAATTACATCTTCGTTGGATCCACAATCAACACCTTTGGTATCAGCAGTCAAGAATTTTAAAGATAATTGGGATAATCTGCTGTCAGGGACTTCTCCATAGTATTAAATAGCAATGGTATAATTTTAAAAAATAAAGTATAACTGACTCAGACTGTGGTGTTTTCAGTTACTTTGTGCCCACCTGGAAGTTTGAAAATAACTAAGGATGACAGAAGAAGAATCGATGCTTTTGTGTTGTGATTCTGGAGAATACTGAATGTCCATGGACTGCCAAAAGAACAAACAGGTCTGTCCTAGAGAAAGTGAAACCAGGGTGCTTCTAAGAAGCCAGGATGGTGAAACTTCTCTCTCATACTCTGGGCATATTGTTCAGAAGGGGTTGTCCCTGGAGAAAGGCATCCTGTTTGGAATGATGGAGTATCATCATAAGGGAAGATTCTGAACAAAATGAATGGACATGGTGACTGTAACTGTGGGTGTGTATCAGAGATGATGAGGATGACACAAGCTAGGGCTATTTTAAGATCCATTCACAGCGTCACTGTGAGTTGCAGTTGACTCGGTGGCATATAACAACAATTACGTGCATACATATTTACCCACTGCTTGGCAGGCTGAGCTGTGTCAGGATTCCTGGCTCACTTTATCACTGGGCCTTTTGTATAGTTGTGTACTTTAGAGGACTGAAACATGAAGGGATAGCACAGTCATGATTGGGTCCCATATATGACATACCTGACTTGAGGTGGTGGTGCTTAGGTGCCGAGAGTCTGCTGTGCCTCATGAGCACTGTGAAGAAGACATGTGAACCTTGCCCTACCCTGCTGTATCCTCACAGCCTCTGTTATGCTATGTTTAGATTACTTTTTCAAGGTTTTCCTTCTTTTCACAGACCCTCTGCATTTCCAAGGATGATTTTTTTCCCCCCAAGGACTTTCCCCTCCTGACAGCAGGCCCAAAGTGTGTGTGGATGAAGTTTCTTCATTCTCAACTCTGCGAAGCACTCAAGAAGCACTCAGGTTGAACTTCCTCAGGTTGAACTTCCTCGAGGCAGATTTGTTTGTTTTTTGAGTAGTCCTGGGAATATTCAGTACTCTTCATCATCATCATCATTATCATCACAATGCAAAGGCATTAATTCATTGCTCTTCTTTATTCATTGTCTAACTTTCACATGCTTTTGAATCAATTAAATTAACATGGCTTGGCCCAAACCTTTGTGTTTAAAGTGACAGCATTTCTTTTTAGAACTTTAAAAAAGCTCTTGGCAGCACATTTAGTCATTGCAATGCATCTTTAGATTGCTTGACTGCTGTTTACATGAGTGTTCATTGTAAATACAAGTAAGATGAAATAATTGACAATTTTAATCTTTTCTCCATCTATTATGCCTTGTCTTTTGGTCCAGTAGTGAGATTTTTGTTTTCTTGATGTTGAGTTGCAAGCCACTAAGTGCTTAAAGTGTTCTTCATTTTTAGCAAGCAAAGTTATGTCATCTGGGTAACCTAAGTTGTTGATGAATCTTCTTTCAATCTGTGTATGCATTATTGTTATTATGTATTATAATAGTCAACCACGATTCATCATCACATTAGGTAAAAGTGGATCTGAACCTTGCTATATCCTGCACCATCCTTACAGTCTCTAATATGCTGTGGCAGTCCCATCTTGTTGGAAGCTGTTCTGTCTTTCTCTTACCCTCCAGATTTCCAAGCATGATGTCTTTTTCTAAGGACAGGCCCATCCTGAAAACATGCCCGAAGTATGTGAGACAAAATTTCATCATCTTTGCCTCTAAGGTACATGCTGGCTGCACTTTCTCAGATTTGTTTGTCCTTTTGGCAGTTTATGGGCTATGCAATATTCTTGTCCAATACCCAATTGAAAGAGAATCTTGCCATTCTTACTGTCCAAATTTCAGATGCATATGAAGTGATTGACAAGACCATAACTTGAATCAGTTGTACCTTAGTTTTAAACTGCTACCATTGCTCTTCAGCATTTTGGAGGGGCCTCTGAGGGCAGTTTTGCCCAATTCAATATAGCTCCTGATTTCTTGGCTGCTGATACTAAGGATGTTGTTTGTTGACCCAAGCAAGATGAAATCATTGACAGCTTCAGTCTTTTCTCCATCTGTTGTGTTGACTATTGGTCTTGTGGTGAGGAGCTTTGTTTTCTTGATGTTAATATGTAATCCCTACTGAAGGCTTTAGTTTTTGATCTTCTACAGCAAGCGTATCATACCTCCTTCACTTTCAGCTCTGCTGCGCCCTGCATTCTCCCTTTAAAAATATACCCTTGAGATCATTCTATGGAAGTGTATGGGAGATTATCCTTAGTCTCTTCAGCTGTGTGTGTATTCGTTATGTCATTTGTTGTGGAGAACTGTACTACATTGGATTTCTGTTTACTACTTCTGTTATTTTTTGGACTTGCTGTTTCTGAGTGCATGTGGAAAGAAGGTAGGAAGAGGGGCAGTGGTCTGGGCATTCTAGAAGTGGCACTTGATTATGACATGCTTGGGCTTGAAACTCTTATAGCAGAAGATCAGAGTCTACAGCCGTCAATATGGATTATAGCTGAAGAAAACATAAATCCTCACCACTGGATCAGTAGGTAATGTCTTAATTATCATTTACTTGTTAATTGTTGGTATACATCTGAAAGTTAGAACATGAATAAGGATAACAGAAGAAGGATGCCTTTGAGTTGTAGTGTTGGAGACCAGTATTGAATATCCCATGAGCTCCCCAGAAAATAAATAAATAGGTCTTGTAGAACATAAAATAATAGTGCTGCTCAGAGGCAAGGATGATAAAACTTTGTCTAACATACATAGGCATGTTGTTAGGAGAGAGCAGTCCTTGGAGAAAATCATCATGCTTGGAAAAGTTAGGGTTTGGCACAATAGTAGTAACAGTGGACTCAAGTATTTCAGATGATGGCAGGGTTCAAATCTGTTATTCATAGGGTCACTATGAATTTTGATTGGCTTAGCATCTAACAACAACAGATTTTTCCTTTGTTTCTATGTTCCTATCCTAGATGGTTTGGATAAAATGTCTTTTTTGCAGTGTTATCAGATGAGTGTGGCTTGTGTTTTTATATCTTTGGGGGCCTAGTTCATAGGGCAGTTACACTGCTAATCCAAAGGCTGAGCTTCCCTGTCAGTTTCAATCCACCGGAGTCTGCGTGAGAGAAAGATGAGCAATCCTTTTTCATGTGATTTAGCCACAGAAACCCAGTGTGTGTGTGTGTGTGTGGGGGGGGGGGTTTGCTGTTAGTTGGTTCTGACTCAAGGGCAATGCTTTTTGTTTTTGTATGTATTTTTTTGTATATTTTAATTTATTTTTCATGTCAATGAACATCTACAGAGATTTTGGAATTCCATTCATTCATTGTTGCACCCTTCTCCCCGCTGACCCCCCCCCATTTGCTCCTCAAAAAGCAAAAGAAAAACTCCCTCATTGGTACACAATCCCCCCCCGCACCTCCCCCAATCCCACCCCAGCCCCAAATATAATCCACTCTGCAACCCTCATTGCGTACTCCTACGATAAACATAATGCCCTAAAATATAATACTTTTAAACTGTTTGTATTATTTTAGAAAAATCCTGCAGTTTATAATTTGCCTGACTTTTTCTTTTACAACTTAGAAATTCTAGGTTTTCATAGCAGGTTCATTTTCATTCATTGATTTTTGGTGGCATCTGTTTTGTGTGTCTTTATGCTTATTATGATTTAGAAGAAATGCCAGAAATTGTTGTTTGCATGACATTTAAAAACAAATCCCCATATTGAAAAGTAAAGCGGTTTTCTTTTGGTTTTATATAGTATTTTCTCTCCTTTTAACAAATGCTAATTTCTTTTTTTTTGCAGGGAAAAAGACTTAGAAGCCAAGTTCATTATTCAGATGGAGAAAAGCAAAACAACAATCACAAACTTAAAGGTGAGTAATGACTTGCCCTTGTTTTAGTCCGAGAGGCTCCTTGTTTATTTCACTGTTGGAATGACTTACGGGTAATAAATCATGCCTGCCATTTACACACTCTGCTCATTTCAGTTTGCCAAGTCAATTTGTTACTGACTTGGGCCTAGTTATAAAGCAGAAGGGTTCATCTCCTGTTAATTTTGCCATTCCTGGTTTCATTTCATCTGGAGGCAAGACCCGCACTCTGGCTGTGCTATGTGAGCTCATGAATACAGTCCTAACTTAAAACCCACTCACTGTTGTTGAGTTGAAACTGACTTGTAACAGATCCTCCAGGTTTTTAGAGGGTATGAACCACATTGAAGGAGGTTGCCCATCTTTCTCCTGAGGAACCACTGGTGGATCATTTTTATCTTTTATTCAAATAGTGGAATGATCTTTAGCCTAGTTATTGACTGTTGAGATTGCTCTGTGCTGTTGAGTGTGAACCAATCCATACATAGCTGACCCTCCAGAGGGTTTTCAGAGACATTTAATTGCACAGAAGCAGATTGTCAATCCTTCCTCTGTGGAACATCTGGTGGATTTGAACTGTATGCCACAGTCTCTTGCCACTAGGCCATCAGAGCTCCCTAGTTATTGACTATATTCTGTTGAGTATTTAAAGAGCTGGTTTCATAATGAACTCCATTTTTAATTATAATCCTAGTGTTTTGTAAATTATGTAATGTTGTTGTTAGGTGTCCTCGAGCCGTTGAGTTGAGCTTGACTCCTAGAAACACGAACCCTGTCTTAGCCTGTGACATCCTCATCATCTTCGACATATATAACCCCATTGCTATAGACTTGGCATTATAAAAAAATTTAGGTAATGAAGGAAAAAAAATAGACAATAAATTTGTTAATATGACAAATGCTTCTTCCTATATTTAAATAATTTTATTTGTTTAGTTGGTCATCAAATTTGTTTAAGTCTTTGAATACATTTTAATTAGGTGGAAAACAAGGAGTAGAATGATTAGAAGGGAAATCACAGAGGAACTCAGACCTATTTGCCTTTGATACTTATCATTACCTTCTTTGAGGCCTTTGAGAAGCTAGACTCTATAAAGAAGAATGTGGCATCAAGATTAAGGAAGACACATCGCTAACCTACGTTATGTGGGTGATACCACCTTGCTGAAAGTGAGGAGCTTGCTTGAAGCACTAGTTGTAGAAGATCAAAGATAGCAGCCTTCAATATGGGTTTCATCTCGGCATTAAGAAAACAGAAATGAAAAAGAAAACAATTGTTACCACATCTGTAGGCAACATCCTGATAGATGGAAAAAGATGGAAACTGTCAATGATGTCATCTAACTTGGATCAACAGTCAGGACTCTTGGTCCTGGCAGTCGGGAGATCAGGAAAAATAGTGCACTGAGAAAGTCTGTAGTCAGGGACCTCTCCAGATTATTGAGGAGCAGTTATGTTAGTTTGAGTTCTAAGGTGCCCCTGTATTGGGCCATAGTTTTTTCAATCACTTGCTATGCATCTGAGAGCTGGACAGTGACTAAGGATGACAGAAGAAGAATTCATGCTTTTAAACTGCATTGTTGGAGAAGAGTACTGAATATTCCACGGACTGGCAAAAGAACGAACAGATATGTCTTGGAGAAGATACATCCAAAGTGTTCCTTGGAGGCAAAGATGATAAAGCTTTGTCTCACATAATTGGGCATGTTACTTGGAATGGCTATTCCTTGGAGAGGAACATCAAGTAGGAGGATGGTGAAAGAGAACAAGACCCTTATCCAGGTGAATTGACACAGTGACTGCAGCAGTGGGCTCAAGGGTATCAGAGATTGTGAGAATTGCACAGGATACGACAGGGTCCAGATCTACTGTTCATAGGGTCCCTATGAGTTTTATTCAGCTCAATAGTACGTAACAATGACTGGTCAAGAACTTGCCTATTTCTGAGCAGTGAATTTCTGTTTTTTTCATGGCTTAGCTTCAAAATAGTGCACTTGATCAAGATAGGAGTTTTGGAATGTCCCAGCCTTCCAGTTGAACAGCACTATGTATCACTTGATGGGCTTCCTTTGAGATTCTCTTTTCTTTTAACTTGAGGCCTTCTTCACTCACCACAGTTCTTTCATCTTTCATGTTTGCATAAGGTTAAAGACCTTGACTGATAATCAAAATGTCATTAGTTTGAACTCACCAGTTGCTCCATAGGAAAAAATGTATCAATTTGCTTCCATAAGTATTTGCAGTGTTGGAAACTCTATGAGGCTGTTGCTACTCTGTACTGTAGTGTTGCTCTGAGTTGAACTGACTTGATAGCAATGAATGAAGAGTTGTCCAAAGCTCAGTTGTGGTGATTTCAGGTAGAAGAAATAGAAAGGTTACTGGAGATGGAAATAATAAGATGTGATTGGAATATTGGATTTCTCTAAGACTATCACAGGAGCTTTAAGTTTTGTTTCAGTTTTTAGGGAAGTTTTGTGTAGAAATGAAATTCTTTTTAGATGAGTTCTAGGTTGTTGTTGTTATGTGCCATTGAGTTGCCATACCTTTTCAATCTGTATGTGGAACAGATCATTTGAGAGACTGGACTTTAGGAAGAGGAGTGTCACATCAGGATTAGCGGAAGACTCAGTGTCAACCTGTGTTATGCAGATGATACAACTTTGATTGTTGAAATTGAGGAGGACTGGATGCATTTGCTGCAGAAGGTCAAAGTCTTCAATATGGCTTGAAGCGTAACATCAAGAATGCAAAGATTTTCACCACTGGGCCAATTGACACCATGATAGATAGAGAAGAGATTGAGATTTTTAATAATTTCAGCTTGCTAGGCTCCACAGTCAACACTCTTGGCACTAGCAGTCAGGAAAGCAAAAGAGGAATTGCATTCCAGAAGTCTGCTCTCAGAGATCTTTCCAGAGTCCTGTGGAGCAATGATGTCAGTCTACAAACTGAGGTACAGTTGACCCAGGCCATCGTCTTTGCAGTTACTTACTATGCATCAGAGAGCTGGACAGTAACTAAAGATAACAGAAGAAGAGTCAATGCCTTTGAGTTGTGGTGCTGGAGAAGAGTGTTGAACATACCATGGACTGTCAGGATATGGGTTACAAATACGAAAAATGTTTATCTTTATACATTTTCTAGGAGGAGCCATTTTCCCCCTCAAATTAATCACTGGTAAAATAACAATATTCTTTATTATTACTGTCTTTTAATTTTTCTAACATCATAATCATTTCTCTCTAGATACCGGAAGGAGGAACTGGAGACTCAGGAAGAGAAAGAACCAAGACCTTCACTTATGACTTTTCTTTTTATTCTGCTGATACAAAAAGTCCACATTATGTTTCTCAAGAAATGGTATGACATTTTCCAAATTTTTACTTCTGTTTATTTTCATATGGGGAAAAAAACATGCCTATCCTGAAACTCTTTGAATTATCTTGGAAATTTTTATAAAGTTTGTCCTTTGAACTTAATATCCTGATTATTACAGTGGACCATATATCTTTCATGAGAGGAGAATGGGCTATCACCTCCCATGTGATTAACTGCCTCTGAAAACCTGCCGGAGTGTCAGCTTTGGGTGGATTCTGCCTCTACGGTACACAACGACATATATCTTTATTTAGCCTTTGATGAACCCAGACCCTGAAGAATTTTTTAACATTTCTGAGCATGATGATTATATTTCTAATTTACTTCAAAAGGTGGATGTGGCTACTGTTTGACAGAGCTATGCAAATGTACATTTTTTATTTTTTTTTAAATCTTTTTAAAATTAATTTTAGTGAAAATTTACAGAGACTTTGGATTTCCATTCATTCATTGTTGGCCTTTTCTCCCTGCCCACCCCTCCTCCCCAGTACACTCTTCTCTTTGAAAAGTAAAAGAAAAATTCTTTTTATTGTTTTACAACCCCTCCCCCCCAAGTCCACTCCACTATGCAGCCTTCTGGGAGGTGGGGTTGTTACACTCCTTACCTGTGAGCTCTGAAGCACATTAAAAGTCTGCCTTTAGGAGGTAGATGTAAACCTCAAGTCACATTGCCCCTCACTGAAGGTTTCACAAGTGTTCAGAATCCTTTCAGAACCTAGAATTATGATGAATTTGTCCAGGAAACCATCCCCTTAAGCTTTTATGGTCTAAAATCCAAATATGGCACAGCAAATAAGAACTCCTTCTCAGGAGGTCATTGAGATACTGATGTTGACATTTAATGAACAGAAAGATGAGTATTTCTCTCAGTGTTTGAGGATGGCCTTTTTATGCCTTCCTTTTTTTATGTCTTAAAATTCATTTATTAAAGAATATTTATAGGAAGGTAACAACTTTTGATTTGTTATTAAAAAATTGGTTTTCTTCATGCTGCATAATAAGTGAATGGGAGGGGCTACAGAGTTACGAGCTTTTCTCTGACGGCACAGCACAATGGAGTCATTTCCGCAGTGCTAGAATAAATTAAAAAAGTCTCTTCTAAGTTTCTCTTCAGAAAGCCAAGAGTAATAACAGAGGATGGCATAAAGAAGCCAATTCTCCCCATTCATTCTCTAGTATTGGAGGCAGTGCTGTTTACCATCACAGGCTACAATTTTCACTTTATCCACTTTAATAAGCTCTGTCAGCTCTCTGAATTCAACATCATTCAAAACAAAAGTAAACACATTACCGCAGAATCTGTACGTATTTAAAGAGCCCCAGAAATTGACTCTCTTTCTGACTCTCTGAGCCAATGCTGAACTGATACCCTTATCAAACTGAAGAAGAACTTGAAGAGCAAGTTGGGGGGTGATCTGTTGAGACTGTACAAGCTCATCTAGGCTCTCTTGAAGTCTGTTTCCCACGTTGGTATTTCTGTATAACTGATAAGCCATGGCTTAGGTGGAAGGAATTGTTTTTCTTATTCACGCTTGCATTGATGTCCTGTGCAGAAGGTGTTTCCACAGCAGAATGGACAGAAGCCAACAGCAGAAGCCTATTTCCAGACCACCTCCTCTAGCATTTCATGCCTTCTTAACAGCTTCTGTGTGGTTTTGAAAGAGGTATTTGTTCTTTTTTTTAGGTTTTCGTGGGTAAGATAAGTATTCTTGTCCTGCTTACTCCAGGCTGGAATCTACATAGTGGCATCTTTCAAAGTACAACATAAAAAGTAGAACATTATTTTCTAGTTCCTTGCATCTGAAGTGTAGCCACAGACCAGTAGCAGCAGTATCGCCTGGGAGCTGATTAGAAATACACTCTCAAGACCTATTCTAGACCTCCAGACTCAGAATCTACCTTTCTGCAAGATTCCCAGGTGACTTGCATGTTCCTTGACATAGGTGAAGGCTGGATGTAGTTGGTTTAGAAGTTGGCTGATGGAGGACACCAGCTTCCCTCTGAGGCAGTGCAAGTGTTAGTGTTAAGATAGGCTGTAAATTTAGAAGAGGTGTTCAGAGTTGTATCACTGTGCCACAACTTTGTGTGAGTTGTGCTGTTAACCCAGAGACTTTATGGGAGAAAGATGGGCAGTCTCCTGTTTTCATTTTCAGCCTTGGAAACATGATGGACAGCCTCTGTGAGTCAGAACCAATGCTTTGGCAGTGATTTTTTTAGTTGTTTTTTCAAAGTAGAGGACTGGAGTGACTATATACAAGAATTGTTGAGTCAAAGATCAGTGATAGATAGAAAGGGATAGCAGCAGTGAATTTGGAAATGAGGAAGGACTGATGCACCTAGAGTGACATTAAAGAGGGCCTGGGAGAGGGACGAGGTACCTGTATTGCTTTTGTTCCCATTGGTGTCAGCAGCTCTAGTTGCTATTCATGTGTTACCATCCCATTTAACTTTCACAAGAACCAAATGTGGTAAATTCCAGCTCTGCTCTGCTTTTGTCTGAGAGTCGCAGGGAGTTTAAGTAACTTGTTCTAGTTCATGTGATAGCAAGAAATGCTGCTGCTGTATGCATTGGTGGTTGTGACTGGTAAGTCATAAGGGTATGAGAGAAAAGGTAGGGTCTGTTTAAATGGCAAGCAGGGAGGGTACCCGTCCCGAATGAATGAATTCGTAAATCTGTAAAAATGGCTTTGGTGTTGAGGTGACAGAGTTAGTCAATGTTGGTAACTAGGATTCTGGTGTAGAATAGAATATGCTAGATATTGGAGTCCAGATTTTGGCATTATTGGGAGTAAGTATGAAGTTATGGGCACCAGGGAATTTGTTAGGAAAAATCCATTCACTGGAGCAACCTTCAGAATATTGTTAGCAGAGACTGAATGAAGAGTTGGGATGGCCTCTATGTTACCTCATGAACAGCTAGATTTTTCCCCTGCTTTGCCTGAATTTGAGGACTTTTGGAAACAGAGGGCTGTGCTGAGGGCAAGTCTGGCTAAGGGGAAGCAGAACGTTGTGTCACAGAAGGGCCAGCACGCTGGGCACTCCTTAGAACTTCGCTGAGTGGATGAACCATTTTCAGACAAGGGTCTAAGCTCGATTCTGGTCTTTAATGTCAAAAATGGAAGCAGGCAACACTCTGCAAATCACATGCACTCTGTTTTAAGGTCTTTAGCAGAACGTGGCATGTTTTCTTTTTTAAATTTTTTTTTTTTTATTTTATGTGTGTACCGTCAAATTGGATCTGACTGGTACAGGAGGCGATTGTTCCTCCTTCTTCAGCAGAGCATCTGGTGGATTTGAACCGAGCATCTATGGGATTGCAGTGCAGTTTCCTGCCACTAGGCCACCAGAGCTCGCCGGCATGTTTTCTTTATGAGAGTTTTACTCTCACCTGCACCTGGTCTATTTCCCTTTCGTCTGTCCATTTGTTGGCCTGTGGTATTTGTGAGGCTGAGAGCTGTGCCGCTCGTATTTAAATACCAGCAAGGTCACTCATGGGGACAGGTTTTAGTGGAGCCTGCAGACTAGGACAGACTAGGAAGAAAGGCCTGTCCATCTACTTTCAAAAATTAACCAGTTAACTTTATAGATTCAACACAATATTATCGGATTTGCTTGCCTTGGACACTTCAGGAAAGGTTAGTCCCTGGAAAGGTTAGGGCTGGATGTTTGGTGAAGGAGTGGGCCAGCGAGGGCAAAGAAAACCCTCAGTAAGATGGATTGACATCACAGACACAGTTGGACATGCCAGTGATTGTGAGGATGGCTTAGGGCTGGAGAGCTGAAGGCCGTGTTCCTCAGCCCTGCTGGTGGAGGTGCTCTGCTCTGAGATATTTCACTCAGCATAATGTGCTCCAGGGTCACTCATTTTGAATAATATTGCATGAGTTCCTTGTTTTTCAAAGCCCCATAGTATTCCATTGTGTGAATATACCACATCTTCTCTATCCATTCGTTTATTGATGGGCACTTAGGTTGTTTCCAACTCATTACTATTGTGAACAAAGCTGCAATGAACATGGGTGTGCATATATCTGCTTGGATGTCAGTTATGGTCTCTTTAGGGTATATTCCCAGTAGTGGAATTGCTGGGTCAAATGGTATCTCTATTTGCAACTTTTTGAGAAAGTGCCATACCACTTTCCACAGTGCTTGCACCATTTTACACTCCCACCAACAATGAATAAGGGTCCCAGTTTCTCCATAACCTTGCCAGCATTTGTTGCTTGTGGTTCTGTTAAATTTTGCTATTCTGACTGGGGTGGTGCTCTGCTTTGCAAAGCAGACCCCAGTCCTGGCTGCAGGGTGGTTACTGTGTGCCATTGACTCAATCACTGCTGACCCTCCAGCTGGTTTTCAAAAGCAGCTAATCATGTGGGTGGAGATTGCCCATTCTTCTCCTGCAGAGCAGCTGGTGGATTTGAACCATGTGCCTTCAGGTTGGCAGCAGATCTCCTTACTACCAAGCCACCCTTTATCTCTCTACTGTTGATCTCAGTCTGGCTCTACCAGGAATCTACCTTCAAGGTGGAATCTCCTCCATTATTTTACTCCTGAGCAGGCTTCAGTGCCTTGAGGCATTTGAAATGACCTGGGGAGGGAGGGAGGGAGTCTTTCTTTTACTTTTGAAAGAGAGGAGTGAACTGGGGGGCTGGGGGAGAGGGCTGGGTGGGGAGACAAGTGCAGCAATGAATGAATGGAAATCCAAATTCTCTGTAAATGTTCATTAAAATTATTAAAAAAAATTCTGTTCCATAATTTACAACCTGTTATGTTCTTGCTTAATTCATCTGGACCACATGGGGGTCAGACAGGAGTTTGGCCATTGGCGCTTTCAGGTGCTTCCTGTTGTTGTTAAGTGCCGTCAAGTCACTTAGGTGATGTTAATGTTTGTGATACATGCTCTAGACTGATTGACAGTAACTGGACTTGGTTTTCTATGTTAAGGCTTTTGAGAGCTGCTGTTGTTGTTGTGTACCATTGAATTGGAACCAACCCATAGCTGACCCTCGGGCGGGTTTTCAGAGGCAGTTAATTGCATGGGAGATTGCCCATCCTTTTCCCGCAGAGCAGCTGGTGGCTTCAAACCTCATGCCTTTGGGACTGCAGTGCAGCTTCTTGCTATAAAAAAGTTGTAATTAGTTTCCTTTCCTGCCTCACATAACCAGGGTGAACACACATCCTGACTTACCTCCTTTCCAGTTACAGTTGCTCCTGTGAAATTTGGGCACTTTCACGCCTCAAACTGTCGTGATAGAATTGTCTGGTGCAGCTGACCTGGATTTAGGTGCAATTCCAGGCTCCACACAGATGTCTCCCTTGTTCCCTTTACTCTGGTATCTGGGGTGGGGTGACTTAGCCATCAAATCTGCCCCATTTCTACTTGTTAGCACTTTGTGAGCATTCAGAAATAGGAAGTTTATGTTGATAACTAAAGAAACTCTTAAAATGATGGTCTTGGTTTGGGCTGTAGTTTCTGGCTGCTGCTTCACGCTCTGCAGGTTAAGTTCTGATGTGCTGATAAAATAATGGGTGAGGATGCGTGGAGATGGAGGAGTAATCATAGGATCATACAGTTTGATTGGTGGGGAGGTGAGGGAAATGGGAAGGATCTGGTTTGAAGAACAATGTATTTGAATTTTGTAAATAAACTAGTATTTAAAAAAATTAGTGTTGTTGCTTTTATGTACCTATATGGTTGGAACCAACTCACAGCTGACCCTTCAAGTGTTTTCAGAAGCTTTAAATTGCATGGGATATGATTATCAGTCTTTTTTTGTGGAGCAGCTGGTAGATTTGAACCACCTGCCTTTGGGTTGTCAGCATAACTCTGTATCAATACTAGGCCACCAGAACTCTCTGACAGGATGAATAGGCTTATAAATTTCCATAATACTGAAATGGTAAATCAGACTTTAAAAATAATTTTTGCTTCTAGACACGATTGCTACGTTGCCTTCTTTCCATTTTTATATTTCAGGAACTTTTTTTTGCAGATTTAAATAAGAGGATGAGGTGGCTGTTTCCTTGCTAAAAATTTTACTTTTGATCAAAAACTATAGTGTATATTCCAAGTTCTGTATATTTATTGGTAGTAATATAATCTTTAAGAGATAAAGGGTAGTGTTCAAGAGTATTGTTAACACTGAGTGGGATTTTATAAAAAGTCAGGCTAATTGTATCTTTTATCTGTGTGTGTTTTTATTCTTTTTTGCTTTCAGGTTTTCGAAACCCTTGGCACCGATGTTGTGAAATCAGCATTTGAAGGTTATAATGCTTGTGTCTTTGCTTATGGGCAAACTGGATCTGGAAAGTCATACACGATGATGGGAAATTCTGTACGTTGTCGAGCCTGTGTGGGAGAACATTTCTCATTATCTCTCTTTGCCCTGACAAAATTATCTTTTATCTAGTTGGTCCTTGCAAACTTCATTTTCATGTTCTTACTATTCTTTAGTATAATAAGATAAAACTCAGTAATAACTGAAAATAAATTTCCTTGGAGAGATTTTAAAATTAGAAATAGTTTTAAGTTTATAGACATGAATAATAGATGCAAGTTCCAGTTCATTTTCTGTTTTCAAAGGCCTTATAATCTTATTTAAAAAAAGTGTTCTGGGCCCACAAGTAATTTATTCCTATTTTCTGTCAACACAAAACGTGTATAGAATTACTGAACTCTGTTCACTTTAAAATTATTCCCTCCCAAAAAAAGACCCCCAAAAATTATTGAAAATGTTTTTCCTCCAAGAATAAAAAAAGATAATCTCAATCTTTAGTTGAAAAGTACTGCATAAATTCATCAAATACATAAAAAGCTTAGAGTTAATATCATTTATATATAAAATTAATACATATGCATATGCGTGCCACACAAAACCACAAAATATAGTATGTAGAACTTACAAGTTAAGTTTTTTAAGTGGATATGCATTAATATTCTCTTTGTTCCAAAATATGAAAGAGTAAAACTAGATGTTGTTGTTATGTGCTGTCAAGTTGGAACTGACTCACAGTTCCTCAGAGGCAGTGCACGGAAAGAGATGGCCCGTCTTTCTCTTGCAGAGCAGATGGTGGGCTCAAACTGCTTGCCTTAAGGTTGTCAGTGCTACTCCTTACCACTTAGCATCAGGGCTACAAAGACGTTATTAGAGGAACTATTTATCTCTTCCTGGAATTTCTCCAAATTTAGGTAATATGTACTCTTTTTGTTATACTGTATCATAGTGAAATTGTTATGTACTGTCGGGTTGAAATCAATTTACAGCTGACCTTATAGCAGGTCTTCAGAGGCAGTAAATCTCGTGTGTGTGTGTGTGTGTGTGTGTGTGTGTGTGTGTGTGTGTGTGTGTGTGTAGTGGAGGTTTGCCGCTCTTTGTCCTGTGGAGCATCTGGTGGATTTGATCCAAGTATCTTTGGCTGACAACATAAGTCCTTACCGCTAAGTCAGCAAGAACAAATACATTTGTTTTTAGTAAAGTGTAGCCAGAATGTTGAAGGCAAAATTGGTGATGTTTTACCTCACATTTTTGGACATTTTGTCAGGGGAGATGATTCCTTGGAAAAGGACATCATACTTGGAAGGGTAGAAAAGGTCAACGAAGGGGAAGAAGACCCTCAAAAAGATAGATTGGTGTAGTGTCTGCAACAGTGGACTGATTCAGATGTGTCCAGGGTGGTAAGGATGGTGCAGGACAGGACAGGGTTCAGATCTGTTGTTCATAGGGTCACTGAGTCATACTTGACTCAAAGGCACTTAACGACAACAAGGTGAAAGGTACCCTCCTGGCATGGTAGGCTAGCCATTATACTGCTAGCCAAAGGTCAGTGGCGTGAATCCACTGGCTGCTTCACAAAGGAAAGATGAAGTAGGCTGCTCTTGAAAGGGTTAGGGTCTCAGAGCTCTGTCCTACTGCTTTGAGTTGGAACCAGCTTGATAGCAGTGGAATTTTGGTGATTATGAAAGCTCAGTTCAGCCCTTTGAAGATTGTGATGTGTTGATGTAGAGATACTGTCAGAGGGTTGTAAGCATTCCTTTCAGCAGACACTGTATTATGCTTAAGTTTGGTGGTCTGTGGAAATAGTGTATTAAAAGAGGAGAGATCTTTGTAGATGCAGTATTTCAGATTATATTTTCAGATGTATGGGTTAACTAACTAAATCGAGGGTTGCTTGGATTTAGAGCATGCAATCAGAGAAAACCCTATTAAGTGTACCTGGTGAAAGTATAAGGAAGACATTCCTATGTAAATGTTGATTTAGCAGAACAAAAGATTTGGGTTAGATAGTAAATGTTAGCATGTCCCCTTAAAGTTAAAATGTTCTGTCCTAAAAGTATGTGTCTGACTCTAAATGCCCCATGCCAGTCCATCTCATCTCTCCAATGCCTAGCATGCCAATATTTATGCGTTCCATTTCTTTCTTAACAATTTCTAATTTTCCTACATTCATGGTTCTCAGATTCCATGTTCCAATCACTAGTGTCTGCTTACAACTGTTCCTCTTCCTTTGTATTTGCATGCTTGACAGTTCTACCTAGGTTGCCCTTTCTGTTCGTCTACGTGTGTTGGGTTGTACATAGGGTTTTCAGAGGCCTGCCATTTCAGAAGTGGATGGCCAATCCTTCTTCCTAGTCCGTCTTAATCTGAATGTTTAGATTTTTGAAGTACAACATTGTGAGTGATAGGATTATATCCATACGCTTACAAGGAAGTCCAGTGAACACTACTATCATCCAGATATATGCACCAACAACCAGAGCCAAAGAAGAAGAAATAGATGATTTCTACCAACTCTTACAGGCAGAGATGGATCGAACATGCAATCAAGATGCATTGATAATAATGGGCGACTGGAAC